ATTGGAAAATGGTAGATTATTAAGAGGTAGGGTCTTTTTCATCTTTTTTTTTTTTTTGGTACTGGGGATTGAACTTGGGACCTTGTGCTTGTGAGGCAGGCAGCAGAACCACTGAGCTAAATTTCCGGCCCCAATTTATCTTTTTTTATGGGAGAGTAGTACTTTATTGTGTGTGAACACCATGTTTTATCTATTCATTTGTGATGAACATGTGAGTCCCTTCCAAATTTAACTAGAATGAGTTGTGCTGCTATAAACAGGGATATGCATGTATTACTGTAATATGATGTATATAACCAGCTACACACAACAAATGTAAATACTATGTACTGCAAATACATACAAACAAGGGAGGAGATCAAGAGGTAGGGGAGGGGCTAAGGAAAGGCAAAGGGATGAAAGAAGGAATTAAGACGTGTTATGTATACATACTGACTCCATACAAGGAATGCAAACATTATGCATTGTACACACATACTAATAAACTAAAACTATTTTCAAAAAGAGGGTGGTCTTCAAGTCACTCAGAGTAGGTCTTTAAAGGAAATTGTGGGTCATCCTCTTTCTCATGTCATGGCTTTTCCCCACTGCGCACTCCCCTCCATGATTTGCTGCCTTGCCACAGGCCCAAAAGCAGCAGGATCAACTGTCCACAGACTGAAACCTCTAAAACTGTGAACCTCAAAAAAAATTTTTTTTGGTACCAGGGATCAAACTCAGGACCTTGTACTTGAGAGGCAGGTGGTGGAACCACTGAGGTAAATCCCCGGCCTAAAACATTTTTCTTTTTAAGTTGATTTCCTCAGGTATTTGTTAATATTGACTGAAAGCTAATTCATCTACATACATCACTTCTGATAGAGATCCCTTAATCAGATTGTTAAACATGCAGGTAGGCATGCTAGTGTGCAAATAAGAGGTACTTTCTCTTCTTTCTGAGTGCAATTAGAATAGTCCACCAAGGATTAAGAAATTAATAAATACTTATTTATAAAGCTCACAACATGATTAACAGAAATTTATAAAGTCAAATTGGAAACAGTACTCAATAACAGGGTTATAGCTAACTAAATTATAAGACATTACTGAATGGAATAACGATTCCCAGAGTACTTTACAGTGTTTAAGGTAGCTTTACAAGTTTTACAAATTTTTCCCCCTATACAACAATTTAGATGAGGAAACTTGGGATGTCTCAGTCTGTTCAGGCTGGTATAAAACTATCATAACCTAGGTAGCTAATAAATAAGCATTTATTCCTCATATCCTGGATGCTGGGAGTCTAAGACCAAGAAATCAGTATATGTTTTTCATCATACCAAGGCAGGAAGACTGCAAGTCTGAGCCCAGACTGGTCAATTTTGTGACTCAGCAAGACTCTATCCCACAAAAATGAAAAAGGCCTGCAGATGTAGCTCAGAGTGAAGGCGTTGGGTTCAATGCCCAGTACCATAAAAGATTTACATAGATACTTACAATTTTTAAATTTTTTTTTTTTGGGGGGGTACAGGGGATTGAACTCAGGACCTTACGCTTGTGAAGCAGACAGCAGAACCACTGAACTAAATCCCTGGGCTGATACTTACATTTATTTAGTTCTTTTAGTTCTAGCAATTTATTGTTTATTATTCTAAATAAAGTACTTTAGGATTAGAATCTGAAGTAAAATCTCTTCATAATCTCATATCTTAAAAATGGTATTTAGCTTAATAAAGATTTCACTAATATTATGGGAAGAACTGGGAATAAGGAATTTAGATGGCAGGAAAAATTTGAGATGATTATTTGAGCTATTATTTCATAGTGTTTGTTTTTTTTAATTACAGAAGGGCTCCTATAACTCTGACATATCACTTCATCCATAAATATGTTGGCTTCTTTCTTGCTAAGACAGCCAATACAGAGGTATGAAGATCTGAAGAAAGTAAGGGGGAGGCTATGCATATGTTTGGCTCATCTTATAATCAAACAATTGCTTACAGTTTTACAATTATAATCATAATAAATTCAACCTCAATATTCTCCAGATTTGCTGTTTGATAATTCTATCTTATGGAAGCACCGTTTAAGTATAAAATAAAATACCACAGTTACCTCTAAATGTTTGAAGACTCTGATAAAAATGAATATCCAATTCAGTATTATGTATTTTCTATACTAGGCTCCCACTTGAGATAATGAAAAAGTTCTGGAACTAGATAGTGGTAATAGTTGCACAACAATGAATGTATCTAGTATCACGGAGTCCTACATTTTTAAATGGCAATTATGAACACAGCAACAGGGGAACCTTTAGTAGATTAATGATTAAAACACATTTAAACAGGTTCCCAATTTAGTCTTGCCTTTAATTACATTTAACACAACAGCAACAAACTCTTAAAAGATTTATAAATACATGAAATTATTAATTTGGTCTACAGCACAAATTTGATTTCTTAACATGATGAATTCCAAAGAAGCTCATGACCTCCTAATTAGGAATAACCAGTCTATGGTCTTTCTTAAAAACAAACAAAATCTTTCTAAGACTGGAGGTAGTAGAGCATGCTCTTCATATGTGCAATGCCCAGCATCAACCCCTACCCCAGCACCAAAAATACCCTGAAAACAAAGAAACAAACAAACAAACAAAAAACCCAACTGTGATACTAAGGGATTTCCAGAAGTGGTCTTCCAAAGACCTAATATACAGATACTACGTAACGTTAAGAGATTTAATTTTCTTTTCTCTTTTTCTCCCTTATACCCTTTCTCTTTTATCTCCTTCCCTCCCTCCGTCTTTTCTTCCTTTACTGGGAATCAAATATAGGGACTGGTACAGACCTCACATTCTTTAGAAATATTATAATGCATTTAGATTATCCCCTTTCTTGAAATTTGTCATTTAATGTACTTTATAAATTTGTTATAACCCCTAAGTACCCAGAGAACATATTTATCAAGGGGCTACTCTATGTATGACATTGTAAAAAATTCAAAGAAGTATAGGAATGGTACTGCCCAAAGGAACCTGAAATGCAGTCAAGAAGAAATAAACCCACAGAGATATAAATACTATCAATGATTTCAATAATAGCATAAGACATGAAATGATGCATAAAGCAATATATATTGATTACCTGCCACAGGAACAGAAAGATAAAAACTGTTCTGGAGTTTCAAAGAAGGGAACAATTACTCCAGTCCATGGTGGTATAAAAGGCTTTACAGGAGAACTACAGTTGGATTGGGAGTGCTGGGGACTCGAGGGTCTCAAGCATGGTAAGCAGGAACTCTATGACTGAGCTGTAACCCCAGCCTAGGATTTCTAATGAGGTGTACCTAGAAGAGCAAGCAAGATTTGAAGAAGTGAGGAAAAAACAAAAGGGCTTAAGATTTGCATTAAGCTTCGAACTCACTGCGTTATGACTTATACGTAGATAGCTCCTCTGGCCTGATGTGCTCATAGGTGGTACTCTGGGGAGGGGACTGGATCATGGAGGTGTTATAGTCATCAGCGGTTCAGTCCCCCTGAGGAGTTTATTTTTATTACTATTATTTTAAAATCTTTTATTGGCACATGTTAGACACATATAATGTTACCATTCATCATAGGGAATTTGTACCTGCACATGATATATCTTGCTGTTTTTCTTCCCATTCCCCCCATCTCCCTCAACCTCTCTTCCCCTCCTTATTAATAATAGCTTTGTTTCCTCTTTCCTTCTGTTCTCTCTTTTTTTCTTGTTCCCCCTTCCTTTCCCCCCACTGACAGGTTTATAGTTAAATGTGATGTGGGAGGTGAAGCTTGGTTGAAGGAAGTGGGTCACTGGGGGTGTGGGCCTAGAAGGGTGTATTCTCTTTTCCTCCTCCCTTAAGACCTCTCTCTGCTTCCCACTGCCATGCCATAAACTGTGACTCTTCTGCCATGCTGCCCTTCCTTGGAGCCAGAAAACTATGGATTAAAACCTCTACAAACTGTAAGCCAAAATAAACTTTTCCTCCTTAAGAGTTGTGGGTATTGGGTATTGTATCCCAGTGATGAGAAAGTAACTAAGACAGATTTTGGTACCAGAGAAGTGGGGTCACTGCTGTAGCTCTACCTGACCTTTGTGGTTCACGAGCTATTTGAACTGGCTTGTGGGAGGAGTTTGGAAAGGCTTGGAGATGCTGGCTGAAAAAGCAGCTCTCAAATACTGTATATTCAGCTACATGGGAGAGTCAAGTCACAATGCAGAAGACCAGAATGCAGACAGAAATACAGTAAGTAAAGAACAGGATCAGGAGATTTCAGTTGGGAACAAGGACTCTACTGGCAGCTGGCCTCCAGGCCATGTGTGTTATGCTTTGGCGGAAAACGTGTCTGCATTTTGCTCTCATCCTGAGACTTTGCAGGAGATTGAGATTAAAGGTAGCAGTCTAATTAATCTGACACAGGAAATGTCAAGGCAGCCAAATACTTAGGCTGTGGTTTGGATACTGTTAATGGCTTTTAGCCAGCTCCACATTGAGAATCAAGAGCAAAGGGCCCAGAAGAATGGTTTATAAAAGAAACTCTGGTAAAGTTGTGGCCTGTAAAGACTGGGCAGGCTTGGTTGCTGAAAAGGTTGGCATTAAGAATTTTTCAAAAGTACTTTGGAACTGGACAATAGGAAAAAAATGGCTTAAGGGAAGGCATGTGAGCAATCATGAAGACCCCACCCTCAAGGCTCAAAAATGCAAAAGTGAAAGGCTTTCATTTGAGAAGAGATGCCCAGGGCCATCTGTTGGAGAAGGACCACCCAGGCTTTCAATGATAACAAACAACCCACTGGGGCATATGTGCCATATGTTCACCAACACTGACCTAGGGCATTGATTCCCAAGATTCAGTATACTGTGTTCAGCCAGCCCAATCACACTGGCTTCTGCAACTACTAGCAAAATACAAAAGCTGTCAGCTACTGTGCCAGCTGACAGCAGACCTTTGTGTTATTCACGTGGTACTGGTTTTAAATGTATGCAGAAATTAAGAATTGTGGGGTCAGGAAGGCTTTCACTCAGATTGCAGAAGAAGGCCTGGGAGGCCACACAGTATGCCCCTGAAGGCACTGCATAAAGCATTGGAGACTCAGGATGTTGGGAAAGCCAGGAATGTGGAATGTCTCAGGAAAGCCCCATGGAATGAGCAAAGCTGGCCCAAGAGAAAAGTCATGAGGGGTTACAATCACCCTCTAAATGCCACAGGGGTGGCATCTCCTAAGCCCTTTGGAGTTCACATCTCATCACAACTTGATCTGGTTGCTAGACATGGAACTATATAGGCTTTAAGTATTTGCCCCACTAGATCTCAGCTTTGCTTTGGTCCCGTTCTTTTCTATCCCCCTATTTCTTCCTTTTGGAATAGGAACGTTTACCCTGTGCCTTTGTATGTTGGCAGTGTTTAACTTTTCATTTTTACAGGCGCTCACAGTTAAGAGTTTGCCTTATATGTTAGAGGAGACTGCATTTGGACTTTATGGCAATGCTGAAACTATCAGGACTCTGCTAACACTTAGAGATGGACTAAATGCATTCTGTATAAAGAGATGGGCATGAGCCTTTTGGAGGGCAGAGGCAGAATGTTATGATTCATATTTAGATGTCCCCCTGCAGTTTCTGCTCTACTATATTCCTCTGCCATTTGCCCTGCCCTGGAGCCAGCTGACTATGGACTGGAAACCTCTGCAGACTAGGAACCAAAATAAACCTTTCCTTCTTAGAATTTTATCAGGTATTGCATCCCAGTGACAAGAAAGTAACTAAGACAAACTGCTTGCTGAATTTTGACTCTGTCAGGTACCAAGAATAAAAAGATGAAGTGCTCTGCATGACCCTTGGTCAAATTATCCTTTGTAAGTCTAAAACCCTGAAAATTTATACTATATAGTTCATTATTTTGCCAATAAGAGATGGGATTGATTTTTTTTTTTTTTTTGAGACAGGGTCTTATTATATTGTTCAGGCTGGCCTTGAATTCACTATGTAGTTCACACTGGCCTCAAACTTGTGACAATCCTCTTGCCTCAGCCTCCCAAGTGATGGGATTACAGGCATGCACCACCACCCCAGCTAGGGATTCCCAAATTTTTGATTACTTTTCTTTTCAAATGAATCACACTTTAAATTTGAACATACCTTTCCTGAAAAAGAAAAATTTCATATATTACAATAAACTATGCATCCTCTTGCAAGCTTCCTTAAGACATCTTTCCTGAATTATATTTACTTATTATTTAATACATATTTAATCAAAGCTATACTTAATTAATTTCTTTTGCACTTGGGATTGAACCCAGGGCTTTGCTCTTGCTAAGCATGTAGTTTACCACTGAGTCACAACCAAAGTCACTATTTATTCATTTTTTAACCATATACCAGACACAACGTTAAGCATATCAAAAGCCTTATTTTATCTGATGCCCTGAAAACATCATGAAATAGGAGCTATGTTTCTTGTTCTTCTTTTTCAGATAACTTCTGCTAAGATGCTTGGAGAGCTTGGTCAGACTCCCAGTCACCTGGCAAACCAAGGGTGAAACTAGAATTGTAACCTCTTTGTTTTTTGACAAAAGATCTCACTATGTAGTCCAGATTGGCCTTAAACTCAAGGAAGTCCTGCCTCTGCTAGGCATGGTAGTACATGCCTATAGGGCTAAGTCCAGTCCTTTTAACTATTAAGTTTGTTATTTAATGTTGCCACTAAAAAATAGAGAAGGATTTGCTCACTGTTATGGTTTGGGTCTAGATGTCCCCCTGTAGCCTCATGTGGTCATCTAGATCATCTAGGCTTGATCTAGAGTGTGTGAAGCTGGAACTGATTCATGATGCAATGCTAGGCTCAAAGGTGCTACGATTAAGGATGTGAGTGCTACCTACCCTAAGTATTCTGAATAAGATAAAAGGGGCAGGGAGACTGTGTTAATCTGTTACCTTTGCTGCCTTTTGTGTGTGCGCCATGTTGTCTCTCCTCTGCAATGCCCGTTTGCCATCCTAGACTTGGAGCCAGCTGATTATGGACTGAAACCTCTACGAACGAGAAGCCAAATAAACCTCTTCCCCTCTAACTCTGGGTGTCAGGTATTTTGCCTCAGCAATGAGAGAAAAGTAACTAACATACCCACCAAACCCAGCTTAGATAAAGGATGAAGTCATGAGTGGATTTCAATAATGTCTAACACTTCCATTCTAAAGATGATAACAAAATGAGTCAGGGACTCTCTTCTATGAAGCACTAGACCAATTAATGAGCAAAATTATTTATATTCAATAACTTGTGCCCAAAAAGCCAGATGGGAGTTGGGGTAGGGTGGATTTTAGATAAAGGTTCATTTCACAATTTTGGTCCCACCTTCCAAAGAACTAACTGATAAGCCCAAGGCGAATGAATACCTGGATAAATTTAAATATACCACATCTGGCAAAACAGTCCTGGCTAGAGGGCTGGCCTAAACTAGCTAGAAATAAGAATCAAGTCAAGTTATTTCGGGTGGTAAAAGTTGTAAAGAATGAAATTTAGGAGGAATAAAGCAGCCATGATTTCTGTTATATGAAGAATGAAAAGTTCATGTAAAGAAGCAAATAACTCTGAAAGGTCTTAGGATAAAGTTATCAAATACAAAAATTTCATACCTTGTTAGTCTAAAATATATTAATCCTATAAGAAGAGAGAAAACACTAATGTTACTAACCTTGTTTGTTCTTGGATTCAACATGAGTGGCTTTCCTTTCTCTTTCGTGTGCAAATGACGGCATGCCACAGCACAAGGAGTGGCAACTGATCTCAATCGGGAAAACATTTTTTCTTTCACCTGGTGAAATAAGCAAATAAAGCACTGTTAAGAAACATGTATTTCACTTAGGAGTATATAAATAGGTCACACATTTGTAAATACTGAATAGTTTCTCTGGTGTGAATAAACTGTAATAGTACATAAGATCCTAATGAGATAACTGACATTGTGAAATGGGAAGAAAGGGGCTAAAGGTGTAGGGAAGGTGGGATGGGTAGGGGAAGGGTAATAAGGGAAAAGAAAAAAATGTGAGATAATGAAAAGATGAAAATAAAGTGTTTGTAGATGGGGTAAAGGGAGGGCAGGGACAAGGGGAAAAAATGAGAACCAAGACCTGTCATGTAGAGGGAGAAGCTCCCAACAATGAATGTAACTGTACTGTATCCCAAAAATGTACCAATAAACTCAATTAAAGCTGAAAAAAAAAGAAACGTGTAGAAATGCACATACATCAGGTGTTAGTTTTCAAAGGCAGATTTAGAAAGCTTACTTTCCATGTGTGAAAATGCCCTTTGATAACATATTTACATGTTCACAGATTATAGCAGTTGTAAAAAGGCAGAAGACAACTTTCCTGGTAACTCTTTTAAATTTCTGGATAATAATCACTGCTACTTTGTAAGTACTACCTACTATATGCCAGACTGTGCTAAACACTGAACCATTCTATCTTACACGAGTGAGATGAGATATATCTCTCCCATTTTTAAGAAAAAGAAATAGAGAGGTTAAGAAACAAGGAAACATCCACTAAACAGCAAGGTGAGCTCCATTTTATGAGCCTGGGAGTTTAGTTTTATGGTGAAAAGGTAAATAACAGGAAAGCTGGAACATTCACATTCAGAGGACAAGGAGCTATTCCAATTCTTTTTTTTTTTTTTTTTTT